CCCCAAAACCCCAAAACCCCAAAACCCCAAAACCCCTTAGATATTGAGGAGAGTTGAATTCTAAAATTATTTGAATACTCTCCATCTACTCAATGAATGAACTCAAGCAGGGTTATCCTATTCGCATTAAATATGTTTCCCATTTAATTAACTTACAGAGTTGTTTGTAAAAGGCCTAAACATTTATCCATGGACTCTATCTAAAGATCTTTTAGACATTTCAGCCTTTATAGCTTCAATATCCATGGTTGTCTGATATGCTCATCCTGCTCTTTGAAAATTCTTGATTCTGTGTGAAATTGACTCTGGAGTGTCTTTGAAGATTGGTTTCATGTTCAACATTGATTTTACACCATGTAGGTGAGTCTGGCGAATGTACTGTCTGCCTCTGACTGTGATCCAAGAAGTTGAAATGCTTCTGCCTTTGTGTCTTGCCTTGACTGGAGTGGTTTCTCTTCTCAGTCATTTTATAGAGTTTTATTTATCCAAGAGGGTGCAAAACTTGGTCTATGAGGCTTGTTCTGCCATTTCAGATTTGGCATGTTCGATTTTAAGGCTTTTGGACACTTGAACTTGATAGGTTTCTTAAAATAATTCTGCTTCTTATTTGATTGAATTCAAGAATCCTCAGGAATTGCAACATTTTTGGTACCCTTTACTATTTTGTTGTTTACACAGATCTGTTTGGGATTGATTGTTTTAAGGCTTGCTATGGGTCTTAACCGCTGATTTCGAAACTATAGTTTTGGAGTTATTAAATGCTGTCAATATCTCAAAGCTAGAGTAACACCCTCTTACCGTTTGTATCTTTGGTTTGCACCTGACTTTGTCAAAGATCAAGTCATTGTTCAGAGGTTTAGATAAATCGAGGTTGCTAATTGTTTTCTTCATTTTTCTTCTTCTGCTTCTATGTTTGTTTTGTAAATTTATTGATTAAGTTTTATATTTAAGCTTACTTAGATTTGTGGACGCTTTTTGATAGAGACGCACTCTATTTGAAGTAAATTTATAGTCAAGATAACACAGCCCTGATACAAAAGTTTGTGGATAAGATTTTTACTGAAACATTCTTGATAAAACAGGTTGTGCTTACCTTCATTTCCGAACTTCAATATTAAAAATGAAACAAGGGGTTTTGGGGTTTTGGGGTTTTGGGGTTTTGGGG